ATTGCCAAGTTGATTTGAGAAAGAATAAACTAGTTTTATTTAAGAATAGACTTGTATCGCTGAAGTTTCTCGGAAAGAATTTCTACGAAAAACTAACAAACGAACACAAACGTAACAATATATATAAATGTTATAAAAAATTATCAACAAATAGAAGATTATTATACAATTGAGTCAAACATAATTTAATGAGTATAAATACACATAAACGAATCAGCACAATGATTGTTTATGTGTTTTCTTATAGTAAAGCCACATTGGTCTATCTGCTGTGTTCACCGAGGGGAATCAAACCCCTGATTTTAGCATTGTAAATCAGAAGACTTACTGCTGTCCCACCGGGACAATAAGAAATAAGAAAGAGTATTACTAGTACGTGAAGGAAGTACATAAACTTGAAAAGTACGTTTTCTGTGTATATCAAAGACAAATTTCAAATTATTTGATGTGAACGCCTTTTCCAAACTGGCGAAGGATGGTTATAAATATTCGTACCTGTCATTAGCATTAAGCTTATTATATTTTTAACACTGTATTCTTTATCTTGTTCTTTAGGAACATTTAGGAATTAGACGAGTGTATAATAATAGTATTCCAACCTACTGTATTTGCCATATCCATTACCTACGACGCTTTTTCGCCAATCCAGAGTTCTTCAGGCCGTATCTAATATAATAAGCCTAACACTACTTCTTTTAACAAGTACAATTAATTATAAATTTCAACTAAACCATTATTTATTTTATATCTAAATCTAGGTAATATGTTTTCGTTGTATGGCACAGTAGTTTGTATTTCCAATTCAGTAAACTATATGGTAATAATATAGTGATTAATAATTTAGTTATTCAAACTCAAAGTAATTTAGTCATCTATCCACTTACAAATATTCTAAAAAATAGATAAAATGCGTTTTTTTAATGAACTAACTTTAGTAGAAATGAAGATATAAGTTTAAACATTAGAAAAAAAGTTAAGAGAATGCTTACAAACTACCTTCTATAAACATTCTTTTAAAACTGATAAACTTATATTAATTAATTAAACATCATATTAATTAATGTACTAGTTGAATTACCTAAATCTTAAAAATATTTATAAAAATTCTATTAGTTTGTCTATTCAAGATAAATATAGAAAAAGATACAATAGAGACATAAAATTTTGGTATTTTTAACCTGAACGAAACGTTATACATTTATCTAAATATCCAAGTCAAAGACCCTAAGGTTTAACACATCCGTCCATAACTTAGAACTCCTGACTAGAGAGAAGGCAATCAGTCTGGCCCTCCAGTGGCACAGCGGTATGTCGGCGTACTTACAACGCTAGAAACCGGGTTTCGATACCCTCGGTGGGCAGAATACAGATAGCCCACTGTGTAGCTTTGTGCTTTACTTGGAACAAACATTTAGTTTGTAGCAAACGCCACCTACAAAGATACTCTTAACCGAAAAGCGAGATTAAATCTCATACTTATACTATCTCCACAAATAAAAATGTGGTGTATTTTCAGCAGAATATCATGGATCAAATATTGGATCTTTCAACATACAACCTGAAACGCAAGCCACTTAGTCATAGAAGGGAGTTTGAGAATACCTCACCCTAAATTTCTTCTATCTCAGCAAAAATATATAAAAAACAAGAGGGGAAGAAAGAGAAAACAATAACAAATTGTGTTCTAAAGTATGTCTTTGTTTGTTTATTCGTTTGTTTATTTGTAGCTAAGCAAAAAAGCTACACAATGGGTATGGAAACACCGTTTCTATCGATATAAATTCGCTAGAAACCACCGGGGGGCCTAAAGCATATCATAGCTATATTATCTAATTATTTATTTTATATCGCACATACATCTTTTTCAAGTATAGTATTTAACTATATTACTATATTGCATTTTGAATTAAGTTATGGCGGGAAATTAAAGCCAGACGGAAGAGAAATTTAACGTAACCTGACTTAATATCTCCATCAAACGTCATTTCCAGATTTACAAAGAGTTCACATCATATTCATTTCAAAATGTTTGAATGCTGACTATCTAGTCCCCCGCTGGGACAATGCTAAATCTTCGGATTTATGCTGCTAAAATCAGGGGTTAAATTCCCCTCGTTGCACACAGCAGATAGCCTGGTGTGGCTTTGCTATAAGAAAACACAAACACATAAACTCCTGAATATCTGAATGTTACCAAAGATTTATTCTATGCAGAGACATCACTTCAGTGCTACTACGTGAGCTCAGCATTTTCAAACAATAATTTTAAACTGCCAGTCAGAAATGTAGATTAAAAATTGAACAATAACCCTTTTAAGATGAGTCACGGGTGAAAGGCCATGCCATCTCGTTTGTTAACTCGCATTCAAAATTTTATTGAACTACTATTTCATTTTGGTATCAAACTGTAGATTATAATTCAAATTTTAGTACTATATATTACTCAATTTCTTAATTTACAAGCAAATATTGAAAAAAACAGAGATAGACATCTATTTTTATGTGTCACGTGGTATGTTGTATGCACTGGTTCAAATTAGATGTTTGTGAAGTCAAAATGCTAAGTCTATAGTTTCGTACGAATTAGAAACTCAAATTACAGATATTGACATGCTAGAATATAAAATAAGAGCCTCTTATCTTTAGAGTTTGCTAAGATACTGCTCATGTAATAAATCAAACACAGTGGCACCCCGCCCACCTCTTTCAATTTTTGGAAACACTCCCTTATATACACTTACTTCTATATATGAAATGAATATCTAATCGGAAGCTCAGGATGTCCCCCTAATGGCTTTCTCAGATATTTTAACGGGCTTGGCGCCATTGCTTTCTTTTGAACCAATATTTGAACGAGGTAGGGTGTGTCTATAGTCTGCTCGAAATTTCATATCTTTTAGACTAAAATACATCTTAATTACTAAGCTTGATAAAATTGTAGTTGAATTCTATGGTACTAATGTAGTAATTTATGATGTTTTAGTTATTCAAATGTATATATATATAACCTACAAAAATATTTTCTTTCATATCCTCCACGTGCATTTTTTAAATGCTTAGCGATTTAACGTTAAGCAGCAAAGGAGTACAAAGGGCGTAACTAGAAGAGATAATTGTTTGCATTACTCCTTTATTTACTGTCTTTGTTTTAAGAAAAATAACTTTCAAAACTTATTTCAAAATAT